TGTGGATTACTTGTGGATTATTGTGATGTTTTTATCAGCTGTTTGGACTCTCATTCTGACGGCACCCATTCACTGCAGAGCATCCATTGCTGAGCAAGTGATTCAATGCTACATTTCTCCAAATCTGATGAAGAAACAAACTCATCTACATCTTGGATGGCCTGAAGGTGAGTAAATATTCAGAAAATTGAATTTTTGGGTGAACTACTCCTTTATATACGTAAATTCAAACCCCTAAATCATTTGAAAGATGATTTCAAGAACATAATACAATTAGGATGTTAAAAGAAAAATCTTAGGCATGGATGTCTTGTCATAGCAGCAATCAAACATTCGAAGCTGTGAATAATAGCCATTGGTTGCGAGTCAGCGTTACAGGTCTTTCAGGTCTTTCTGGATGTGCCACAGCATGTCTGCGCTCTTCTTCAGCTGCGAGACCTCGTCGCTGGTCAGGCTCATGTTGACCACGCTGCCCACTCCAGCGCTGTTCAACACGCACGGCAGGCTCAGGTACACCTCGTCACTGATGCCGTACATACCCTGAAACAAATGCAATACATTAGCATTTCCATCATCTGTTATAATAGCCAAATATGTGGGAGAGCATTGCTATTGAGTGAGTGAGTGACTGTATTGTATTCCAACAGGTAGCACATGTTACAATGGTTGAATCAAGACTAGTTAGCACGTAATTTATAATTGAAATGGTTTAATAACAATATTTTGTTATGGTAACACTATAGATGAAGGATGGTAAAGCAATCCAATGCAAATGGCCCTTTTGTTACTCAAGATAGGATTGGGACAGGAAAGCAGAAGTCTTTGATTCTGAGTCCTGTACTGACCTTCACCATGGTGGAAACGGGATGGACTCGGTTGAGGTTCTTCATGAGACTCTCTGTCAGGTCGGCCACACTCAGCCCGATGGCCCAGTTAGTGTAGCCCTTCAGTCGGATCACCTCATAGGCGCTGTGGTGAACACACGGTCGTGGAAGTACTTTATGCATACATTCACTTCTAGCAGAATAGCTCAAATTTTTTTCTACACAAAAATGAATTCTAAATACTATATTTGTGAGATGATATCTAGACACCACACTGAATTAAGCAATATAGTCATGTGATGACAATGTAGCATAGTGTTTCAAATGTTTATTGTTCCATACTGCATACTCATTCACAAACTACACTGAAAAAAAAGTTTCATTCATCCAATTAAAAAAATGTAGGGTAATGATTCACATCTATATTTTTTAACTTGAGCCAATGAAAAATAAATAACTTACCCTTATAAAAATATAGATGTGAATCATTACCCTAAATTTTTTTAATTGGATGAATGAAACATATTTTTCAGTGTATTTTTAATAAATAGCAGGCAGGAAATCGCATAATATGCATTTTGGGTGAACTGATCTTAACGAGGAGTGAGAACTAAAAGAGTAGCCCGATGACGTACCTGTCCACGACTTTCTTGTGTGTTTCTTTCCAGTTCTCTCGGTCCGTGTCTTTGCCGATATCTGGATTGAGTTTCTGCAGACTGACTCCTGCCACATTAATGCCACTCCAAACGGGAACTGCAATGCAAACACACACACAGACCATGAGTGGATGAACAATATGAAAATTTCAAAATTAGTTTTTATATATATACATATTTTTTTTATTTATTATCATTTACTTTACACTTATAGAAATCTAAAATAAAAATTATTTTAAAATATTAATTACAAATTATAATATTAATTAATACATCAATTATTAATTATTCCTAATTATTAATTATTATTTTAATAACAGATTTATTTGCCTAAATGTAATTTATGAATATGTAAGTATATTAATAATATGATGAATATGAATAACGTTAATTACTTTCAACTATATTAAATTATATTTACATAATTTAATTATGCTTACACTCAAAAAATATATTTGATACAATAATATATTTAATTAAATATTAAATATTACGTTTACACTATATTTACACTATATAGTTTATATAATAATATTATTTATTTAAATAATTTATATTCATTTTAATAAATAATGAGTCTTATTTTAGAAATCCTCATCATATTTTATTTGATCATATGTAATATTAATTATTATTTAAATAATTTATTTTAATAATACATACTTATTTTAATAATATTTTTTCATTTCATTTTAATACATTTTTAATATGTATTAATTAATACTTTTTATTTATTAATTTTTCATTTAATTATGCTTAAATGTACACAAATTTATTCTATATTAAATTGAAATAGTTACATTAAATAATTTGCATTAATTTGAATAAATATGAGTATTATTTTACAAATAATAACTATTATATTTTATTTTATTATGTATAATATTTAAATCATTTATATTTTAATAATACATCATTAAAATTATTTTAATAATATTTTTAATTTATTTTTTAATACATTTTTTATTCATAATTTATCTTTATATAATTCAATTCATACTTTAATTTTATTATAATTTTTTTATTATGTATTACATTAAATAATTTGTTTTTTAATAAAGCATAATATTTTAATAATATTTTTAATGTATTATTTTAAATACATTTCATAATGAATTGTTTATTTACAAGTTATATTACATTATATATATTTGTCTGGCTTGTCTCACCGCTGGAGTCGCCATGTTCTCCCAGAATCCATCCGTTGAAGCTGCTGGGATGGATGCCCAACCTCTCGGCCATCAGATACCGAAAGCGAGCCGAGTCCAGGTTGGTCCCGCTGCCGATGACGCGGTGCTTGGGCAGGCCGCTCAGCTTCCAGGTCACGTATGTCAATACGTCCACTACACGGGCAGAAAAACTGTGTGTTACAGGCAAAATAAAAGGTGAAGAGTATGGTACTGAGTGTTTATGGGAACCTGGGTTGGACACGACGATGAGGATGCAGTTGGGACTGTATCTGACGATCTGCGGGATGATGTGTTTGAAGATGTTGACGTTTCTCTGCACCAGATTCAGTCTGCTCTCGCCCTCCTGCTGACGCACGCCTGCCGTCACCACCACGATACGAGAGTTAGCCGTCACAGAGTAATCTACAGGACAACACCAGACGTTCATGAGGTTCAAACCACAGAGAAACCACTCAAAACGAGCGGGGTGCGAATTACACAGTGACCTTCGGGGGGGGGGTATTGTGTAAATAGGGCTTTTAAAAAAAAATCTAATTCATTTCATAATGTGCCGATTAATTAATCAGATTAATTAGATCAATTAATTAACATGCACATCATGTGCTGATTAATTAAATGTAAAGTTATTATTAAAGATATTTTAAAGTTATCATTGTGTTAATTTAGAAAAACACTGAATAGATACTACAAAAAAAGTAGCTTTAGAAATAAATATTTGAACATTCAACATTCAAAAATACAAATAAATACTGAAATATGAAATGTTTTTTAAAAAAACAAACAATACTCTAAGTATAAAACTAAAAGCGCCAGTAGGTGGCAGTAAATCGCTGTCTTTATAAGTGAGTCATTCATTCATTCATTCAATCGATTCGTTCAAACGGCTGATTCATTCAGAAACTCAGCAAGTTACTGCCTTTATGAATGGCTCACTGACTCACTCGATTCGTTTAAAAATGTGGATTCATTAATGAAACACCACTCTGGGTTGATCAGAGACGCACAATTTGTCCTAGGGCTTTATCTTTGTTGGCGAAATTACTGACAACGTGTCTAAAATGTAATTATTCGGACCTTTACCTTATATTCATTTTTAAGTAAAAACCTAGTTTTTTCTTTCTACCAGCCAATGATGACTCTGAAAGAAAACACACAGTACTTGTTATAGTAACACATGCAACTTTTACACGCATCTGACTGATAAAACCGCGTAAATGTGGTTATTTATGGTTATTTTAGCAAATAGTTTGCTCCGTAAATTCAGTTCAACAGCATTAAGTTGAGGAGGGTAAACTTGATCAGTCGACTGAATCTGCACATGCATTTTATGTGTTCTTGCTCCGTCCAAGCAATAAATGCATGTCTATAAATGAGTACTGTAGCGTATGTAGGTAATGTGTAGCTATGACCCATTTCAGGGGCTTTACATTTTCAAATCAGTCAGGGCTATAGAAATGCATATTAATATATTTAAG